TTCTGGAGGCAATTTTTCTCCTGACATGTCGCCTGCATCTATGGCAAGCATTCTCAGAGGTAGTGAGGTCTGTTGGAACTAGGAAAAATGGGTTTATATATCTGTGGAATGACCAGGGTGAGACAAAGGACTTTTGTCTGCTGGGGCTAGGTGTGAATGTTTCATCTGATCACCTTGATTAGCATTCAATGGCTTGGAAGTGCCTGGGGGGAATCTTTTGTTGAGAGTGATTTTATGTGCCTGTTTGTTTCCCCTCTGTTGTTTTGCTGTTGTAATTTTTGAGTTTTTTAATACTGGTAGCCAGATTTTGTTCATTTTCATGGTTTCTTCCTTTCTGTTGAAATTGTCCACATGCTTGTGGATTTCAATGGCTTCTCTGTGTAGTCTGACATGGTGGTTGTGAGAGTGGTCCAGCACTTTTGTGTTCTCAAATAATATGCTGTGTCCAGGTTGGTTCATCAGGTGCTCTGCTATGGCTGATTTCTCTGGTTGAAGTAGTCTGCAGTGCCTTTCATGTTCCTTGATGTGTTTGGGCAATGCTGCTGTGTTTGGTGGTCCCTCTGTAGACTTGTCCACAGCTGCATGGTACACGGTAGACTCCTGCAGAGATGAGAGGATCCCTCTTGTCCTTTGCTGAACGTAGCATTTGTTGGATTTTCTTGGTGGGTCTTTAAGTGGTTTTTATGTTGTGTTTCCTCATCAGTTTCCCTATGCGGTCAGTGGTTCCCTTGATGTATGGCAAGAACATCAAGATAGATATCTACATAAAATCTCCAATCATCACCCAAGTCAAAAAAGAAGCACAATTAAAGCCTTGGCAGACCGTGCAAAAAGAATCTGCGAACCCCACCTCCTCCAAGATGAACTGAACCACCTAAACTAGGCTCTACAGGCCAATGGATACTCCACCTCAGACATCAGAAGAGCTGCAAGACCGAGAACAAGCCACGAGAGTAAAGATGAAGATCCACCCAGAGGAAAAGTGTTCTTGCCATACATTAAGGGAACCACTGACCGCATAGAAGCTGATGAGGAAACACAACATACAAACCATCTACAGACCCACCAAGAAAATCCAACATGCTCCGCCCCCCCCCCCCCCCCCCCCCCCCCCCCCCCCCCCCCCCCCCCCCCCTACGTTCAGCAAAGGTATATGGTAGACTCTGCAGGAGTCTACCGTATACCATGCAGCTGTGGACAAGTCTAGATAGGGACCACCAAATGCAGCATTGCATAAACATGAATCAAGGAACATGAAAGGAACTGCAGACAACTTCAACCAGAGAAGTCAGCCATGGCAGAACACCTGATGAACCCACCTGGACACAGCATATTATTTGAGAACACAGAAATGCTGGACCACTCTCACAACTACATCATTTCAGACTACACAGAGAAGCCATTGAAATCCACAAGCATGTGGACAATTTCAACAGAAAGGAGGAAACCATGAAAATGAACAAAATCTGGCTACCAGTATTAAAAAACTCAAAAATTACAACAACAAAACAACAGAGGGGAAACAAACAGGCACATAAAATCACTCTTAACAAGAGATTCCCCCCAGGCACTTCCAAGCCATTGAATGCTAATCAAGGTGATCAGCTGAAACATTCACACCTAGCTCCAGCAGACAAAAGTCCTTTGTCTCACCCTGGTCATTCCACAGATATATAAACCCATTTTTCCTACTTCCAACAGACCTCACTACCTCTGAGGATGCTTGCCATAGATGCAGGCGAAACGTCAGGAGAAAAATTGCCTCCAGAACATGGCCATATAGCCCGGAAAAACCTACAACAACCCAGTGATTCAGGCCATGAAAGCCTTCGACAATACATAGAACACATTCTCTCTCTTATTTTAACTATATACATATGTTCAGATTACTCGCAGCTCACATCCAAGCAGCCAAAAGCAGCAACAGAAAAATACCGAGAGGTGCCAAACACTGGACGTGACAGTTTGCCCATCTCTATTATTTATTGTTTCATATCCCATGCTTCTTCCGGTCTGGGACTCAAGGCAGCTTATACAAGGAGGCAAATCTATATAAATAAAAATGTAATGTTCGTTTGTGGGATTAACATAACTCAAAAACCACTGGATAAATTGCTGCCAAATTTGGACACAAGACACCTATCAGGCCAACGAGTGACCATTGCTCATAAAAGCACTGAAAAACAAAGCAAAGGGGACTTAAAAATCCAAAAAACAAAATTCACATTACAACACATGCGCAAAACCACACATATTTATTTATTTAGACTATTTCTACCCCGCCCTTCTGACCCCCAAGAGGGGACTCCGGGCGGCTAACACAGGCAACTATTCAATGCCAACAGTATCAAAACAACAATATAAAACAACAATATAAAATCTATTACATAACAATTAAGCAGTAATATTAATTAAAATTACAAAACCACATAGAATACATCACAGAATCACAGGTCATAAAGCCATTTCCAATTTTCAAACAATCCTATTGTCTGAGTTCAGTGCCTAAAGTGCTGTTGTGCCCACTAGCCAAAGGCCTGGCTCCAAAACCACGTCTTTAGTTTTTTCCTAAAAGTAAGGAGGGAGGACGCCGATCTAATCTCGCTGGGGAGCGAATTCCACAAGCGGGGGTCACCACCGAGAAGGCCCTGTCCCTCGTCCCCACCAGACGCGTTTGAGACGCTGGTGGGACCGAGAGCAGGGCCTCCCCAGTAGATCTTAAATTACGAGGTGGAACGTAGAGAGAGATACGTTTGGATAAGTAAGCTGGGCTGGAGCCGTATAGGGTTTTATAGGCCAAGACATATATATGCAAACACACATATATACACATACACACACACACAAAATACATATACACAGACTGGGCCACAGCAATGCATGGCAGGGAACAGCTAGTCTTAGATAAAAATCTAAATATCTGACAGTAAAATCACCAGTAATTTTAATAAGTGTAAAACAGTTTGAAGACATAACGGCACACTCAAATATACAGCGCATGCATCTTAGAAAAAGATTCCCTTTAACAAATTAATAATAATAATAATAATAATAATAATAATAATAATAATAATAGGAGACCGAGGGCCTGATTCTTGCAGCCCAAGAACAAGCAATTAGAAGAAATGCCATCAAAGCCAGAAAAGTCGAAGACAGATCCCAGATGTAGACTCTGCAAGGAAGCAGGCGAAACGATAGATCACATCCTCAGCTGCTGCAAGAAGATCGCGCAGACAGACTACAAGCAGAGGCATAACACCATTGCTCAGATGATTCATTGGAATTTGTGCCACAAACACTATCTGCCTGCGACAAAGAAGTGGTGGGATCACAAGCCGGAAAAAGTCACAGAAAATGAACACGTCAAACTACTCTGGGAATTCTGAATTCAGACAGACAGAGTTTTGGAGCACAATACTCTTGAACTCATGATTGTGTTAAAAAACAAAGTATGGATAGTCGATGTTACAATCCCAGGAGACAGCGGGATTGAAGAGAAACAACTGGAGAAGCTGACACGATATGAGGATTTAAAGATCGAATTGCAAATACTCTAGGACACAAGCCAGTCAAGGTGGTCCCAGTGGTGATGGGCACACTGGGTGCAGTGCCTAAAAACCTTGGCCTGCACTTAAACAATAAGTGCTGACAAAATTACCACCTGCCAGCTGCAAAAGGCCACTTTACTGGGATCTACACGCATTATTCGCCGATACATCACACAGTCCTAGACACTTGTGAAGTATCTGACGTGTGATCCAATACAACAGCCAGCAGAGTGATCTTGTTTGCTGTGTACTAATCCTGTTGTGTTTCTAACAACAACAACAACAACAACAATAACAACAACTTTATTTTTGTACCCCACCTCCATCTCCCCGAAGGGACTCCAAGTGTCTTACACATGGGACAAAATGTCCACAGAACGTCAAAGCAAAACAGTGCATTAAAAAAAAAATCAATTAAAATTTATTTATTTATTGTGTCACCAGCAACCATACCATTGTATTACATTTCTAACAGAACAAAAACAAACAGATAAAAAACCACAAATTTTACAATTAAAATAAAACATCATAAAGAACAACAATCAGATAAAACACCACCAAATAAGGGTACAAAACACCAGCCTTAAAACTCACTCAAACAATGCAAACAAAAAAACAATTATTTGAGGTCAGTGAGAATGAAAAGCCCTTTGCTGGTTGGTGAAAACAAGCATGTGGATTTACACATCTAGAAAGAGACTCAACTCCACCTCAAAGTAGAGTGAAACTTCATTCCATCCCATTCCAACTACTTCATCACACTAGAGAAAAAATCCACTTAAAATCCGGTTTCTGCCTCCTGTAGAATTCTGGGGTTTGTAGATTAGTGAGGCTGTTAAAGGCTCCTCCCTAAACTACAAATCCCAGAATTTTGAAGGCAGAAAGTGGATTTTAAGTGGATTTTCTTCTCTAGTGTGATGAGGTGCTGTCCCTGCAAGAAGTTGCCTCTCCACACAACGACATATCAGAGAGGAGGACAACTTGGTGGTCTGTATAAAACACGCTAAAGGCATTCACAGGTTGACATAAGCCATGGTGGTTTTTTGATGTGCAAATCCACTTGTGTCAACAAGCTGGTTAGTAAATCATGGATTGTTGACACAAATAGATTTGCACATCAAAGAACCACCATCTGAACCTTCAATCTGTTGCTGGCAAAGGCTTACAAACCTGGCTTGTTCAACCGATAGCTTATTTCAACGTCGAAACCAACACACATGGTTTGTTCCTAATTCCTCAGTTGCCTACTCCAAAAGAGGAACTGACAAAAGGAGTGGAACAGAAACAAATAGAAAGAAAGAAAATAAAAACCAACATTTGTTTGATTATCATGTCTTTTGCAGCAAACCATCTTCAACACAAATCATGGTTTATTGTTGACATGCACTGATTGAGCAGTGGAAGTCTGAGCACTGGAGTAGCCACAATGATGGCAACATGCAATCTCCTTACCTGATAGTGCCAGTGGGAGATGGCAGGGGGCTGACCAGGCTCCGGAGATCCGGCTCCGGAATGTGAATCTTAAGAGGGGAAATCTGTGGGTAGAGTGGCCGAAGTGGAGGTGATGAAGCTTCTTCTTTGACTTCCTCTTTGTGATAAAGCGACGTGAAATGGATCTTGATGTTTGTGCTGGGGAATCGGAAGGTGCATCTGAGGAAAAGAAAGAATAGAGTTTGGTCGTCTGCACAGCATTGAACTTCTGGGCTGGTACATACAATCTGTACATTCATATTTGCAGGTTTGACTTTTGTGGACTTGATTATTCCTGGATTTGATTAAAAATATTCTGCCTAAAAATCTCTAACTCCTCCCATGTGTTCAACTTTCTCCAGTTATGCTGTAGGACTAAAAGATTGTTAGAGGGAACATCTCTGTAGGAGTCTCTACTCAGTGGTTCCCAACTTTTTTTTGACCAGTGATTACTTGACCAGGGACCACTTGAATACTTGATCAGGGCCCACTTTGACCAGGAAACCACTTGACCAGGGATCACTTTGAACAGCGACCACTCTCCAACATTTGTACCAAAAGGGTTACGAATCGGTTTTTGGTCAACTTTAGATTCAATTTGGTTATTTAGGGTGCTGATTCAGAAAACTGCATTGGATAGACCACATCAGCTCTAGTTTCTGATACAGAACACAAGCCATCCAGTAGTTGCCATCTGCTCACCCACAGAAAATCATATTTAATCATTTATAGATGATGTGGTAGTCAACTTTTGTGAGTAGTCAGCCTCTCCCCTCCCGATATCCCTGTTGCCTCGGCACTACAAGAGGGTTTCGTGAGACCAGTCACTCTCATTGCCGTGTGGTTTGAAGGCAATGGTGTAGCAATGGTGAGCCTGCAGACCATATTTTTGTTCTTGTGGATGACCGACGGTCCATGGACCACAGGTTGGGAACCACTGTTCTAGGTCCTCCAATATTGTTCTGTGGCCAGCTTCCAGCAGAAGGAAACCAGAGTCATGCTAGAAACCTACATATTCCTAGAGAGGTGTTCTCTCAGTAAAAAACAAAACAAACCAAGAACTTCTTTATTTGCATTTTTTACAAGGGTGCTTTGCCCCTAATCTCAGCAAATTATTATTATTATTATTATTATTATTATTATTATTATTATTATTAAATCTGTGACATTTATACTGAATGTCACAGATTAAACTAGGAAACACTGCACCCGACATCAAGATCTCTTCTTCCAGATTCAAAGAATCATAGAATCGTTGAGTTGGAAGAGATCTTGTGGGCCATCCAGTCAAACCCCATTCTGCTAAGAAGCAGGAAAATCACATTCAAAGCACCCCTGACAGATGGCCATCCAGCCTCTGTTTAAAAGCCTCCAGAGATGGAGCCTCCACCACACTTCAGGGCAGAGAGTTCCACTGCTGAACAGCTCTCATAGTCAGAAAGGCCTTCCTAATGTTCAGGTGAAATCTCCTTTCCTGTAGTTTGAAGTCGTTGCTCCGTGTCCTACTCTCCAGGGCAGCAGAAAACAAGCTTGCTCCCTCCTCTCTATGACTTCCCCTCACATATTTATACATGGCTATCATGTCTCCTCTTAGTCTTCTCTTCTGCAGGCTAAACATGCCCTGATCTTTAAGCCGCTCCTCATAGGGCTTGTTCTCCAGACCCTTGATCATTTTAATCGCCCTCCTCTGGACACATTCCAGCTTAGAGTCAACATCTCCCTTCAATTGTGGTGCCCAGAATTGGACACAGTATTCCAGGTGTGGTCTAACCAAGGCTGAATAGAGGGGTTTAATATTGTTCCAAAATATTAAAAGCATCTTTTATGCAACCCTGCATTTGCCTTTCCTTTCATTCAAGAAGAACTTGGGGGAACCAACTTTTCAGCATGTGTAGGTATTTCCCCCCAGAAATAGTACAAGATGAAAATAAGCCAGGAAAGTTTTCATCCAGCACTGTGCATCTCAAGAGCTATACATCACAGCTCTGTAAAATCCAGATGTCCCACAAAATGTACCTTTCCCACCAAAACAATATCTCCCTGGTGATTTGTTCAAGGAAATGCCCAGGCCCGCTCCATTTCATCTGACATTTCCTCCATCAGCAGTTATGCCTGGTTGTAACCGGATGCACAGACATCAAACATGTTATAAGTATGGACAGTTATGATGGATGTTATAGCATACAAGTCAATTTTCTGCTGGCACATTTCTCTCTCCAGGACTGCAAACTGCCTTGGCAAGGTTCCTGCTACCCTGCTACATCTCCCCACTGGCAAGCGCTGAACAAAGGATGGAGAAATGGTAATTCCAGTTCTGAAAGATCCTGTGGGAGAGGAGAAGCACGGGGAGGGAGTAATGCTTTCCAGACACAAAATGCCAACAGCAAAACTCCTGTTTCTTGGGTGCACACTCCCTTTTATGTGAAACATGCCCGGTTAGTTACTCTGATTGTTTAAATACTTCTTATTTTTCCAGAATTGTCAGAAAAAAATAGAAGACCAAGATACATAGCCTTTTAAGGCCAAAAGCAAGGATATAATGCTCCAGGGAACTGAAAATGGGGTTGCACTCCCCCTGAGGTGCTCCCTCCCCCCAGATTTGGAACACCCTCCCCAGGGATGTTAGGCAAGCGCCTACACTGTCCACCTTTCATAGCAAACGTAAAGGTTTCCCCTTGGCATTAAGTCCAGTCGTGTCCGACTCTGGGGGTTGGTGCTCATCTCCATTCCGAAGCCAAAGAGCCGGTGTTGTCCGTAGACGCTTCCAAGGTCATGTGGCTGTCATGACTGCATGGAGCGCCATTATCTTCCTGCCGGAGCAGTACCTATTGATCTACTCACATTTGCATGTTTTTGAACTACTAGGTCGGCAGAAGTTAGGGCTAACAGCAGGAGTTCACCCTGCTCCCCGGATTTGAACCGCCACATGACCTTGAAGGTATCTACGGCCATCGCCAGCTCTTCGCCTTAGAAATTGAGATGAGCACCACCTCACAGAGTCAGACACAACTAGACTTAATGTCAAGTGAAACCTTTACCTTAACTTAGTCCCTACTTAAAAATGCCCAGTCCCTAGCCCACTCTGTTCTCTGCACTTCTTCCAATCCCTTGACTCTATACTATGCAGTTTTGCACTATCCCAAACCAGGTACAAGCCTGATCATGCCAATCTTAGTACTTCCAGTAATTGGTTTTTTGTTGGTGTGTTGTTTGAGTGAATTTTAAGGGCTACTATTTTAAGGGCTACCATCTCTACGCAGATGACACACAACTCTACTACTCATTTCCACCTAATTCCAAGGAGACCCCTCGAGTGCTGGACGAGTGCCTGGCCGCTGTGGCTATCTGGATGAGGAAGAACAAGCTGAAGATCAATCCCGACAAGACAGAGGTCCTCCTGGTCAATCGTAAACCGGATCGGGGTATAGGGTGGCAACCTGTGCTGGACGGGGTTACACTCCCCCTGAAGTCACAGGTCCGCAGCTTGGGAGTCCTCTTGGATTCATCACTTACGCTTGAGGCTCAGGCGTCGGTGGTGTCCGGGAGGGCTTTTGCACAACTAAGACTTGTGCGCCAGCTGCGACCGTACCTCGCAAAGGCTGATCTGGCCGGGGTGGTCCATGCCTTGGTCACCTCTAGATTGGATTACTGTAATGCACTCTACGTGGGGCTGCCCTTGAAAACGGCTCGGAAATTCCAACTGGTTCAACGGGCGGCGGCCAGGATGTTAACTGGTGCTCCTTACAGAGAGAGGTCAACCCTCCTGTTCAAGGAGCTCCATTGGCTGCCGTTTACCTACCGAGCCCAATTCAAGGTGCAGGTGCTTACCTACAAAGCCCTAAACGGTTTGGGACCTGCCTACCTGCGTGACCGCATCTCCGTATATGAACCCACGCGTTCCCTCCGTTCATCCGGAGAGGCCCTGCTCATGATTCCACCTGCGTCGCACGCACGTTTGGTGGGGACGAGGGACAGGGCCTTCTCTGTGGTTGCCCCCGACTTTGGAACACCCTCCCCAAAGACATTAGACTAGCACCTACGTTGGCAGTCTTTAGGAAGAACTTGAAGACCTGGCTATTCCGATGTGCCTTTCCTGAATAGGATAACCTCCAGCACTACGTCCCAGAAGCACTTTATTAGAACTTAAGACTCTCTGTACATTGCACTTGCCCAGAATCCCAACATATCGCCTCTTACACCCAGCACTTTTTAACCTGTACCCTTCATTGGCCCGGCCCTGGTTTTATTGCGTAATAGTGTAACGTTTTGTTATTGTTATTGCTTATATTTTAATTTGCTTGCATTGTATTGTTATTGTTTGTTGTTGAGGCCTTGGCCTTTGTAAGCCACATCGAGTCCTTCGGGAGATGCTAGCGGGGTACAAATAAAGTTTAATAATAATAATAATAATAATAATAATAATAATAATAATACTTAAGACACAAGACGGAGCCCAACCCACTGGAGCTGGAGGGTCCCAAGTTCCCCTCGCCACCCCACCTCAATAGCATGAACCCTGATCTCTCCATGAATTGCCACGCCATGGCCTACAAGATCCAGGGGGCTCTGGGCCGGCCTTCCTCGTAGCAGAGCACCCCATAGTACCCGCCTCCCCACCTGGAGCAAGACGTCGCTCCTTGTATGCCCAGCCACGGCCCCTGGAGGAAGCCCAACAGGACTTCCTCCAGCCTGGCCTTGGCCAGATTTTCCCTGGCCAAGATCGCCCTCCGAAGGCACCTGAACTAGGACCACGTCACGGGCGCCAAAGTCACATATGGTGAGAACCACCAGAGAGTGGAGCACCTCAAAGAGAACACCCTGACTTTCCCAAACCCAACAGCATCAAGATGAGCCCTGAAGACCTGTCCATCTTCTCCTGCAGCAAATGAGAAGGCTCTGTGTGAGAGTCGGATGTCTGCGAATAACGGGGAGACCATCACCAGCCTTCCCATCAGCATCCCCCTTAGCACCATCCAGCCCAATAAGCTCCCTGTTAGTATCCCCCTGGTCAGTGTAGTCCCCGCTAGCCGTGTTGAGAAGGTGTGGAGCACACCCAGCCCTGTCCACTAGAACCGTGACTCCTTTTTGACACTTGAAAAACAACATGGTGCTAATTCTCATAACAGTGTTAGCCATGCTGCACACAACAAGCCACTAATTTTGGCTACCTCAGGTGTTTT